ACCTGTGTCTGCCCACCTCCGCCCGTCTCCGCTCGTGTCTTATTGAAACTAGAAAATCAAACATGCCGCTTCTATGTCATGAACGTGTGTCCGTGTCGGATATGTATCCAACACGGACACAGCAGCACTTTGCACATATACGTGCTTCCTAGCTTCTCACTATTGATTCATTCCATGTTACAATAATGCTTTCCTCACTACAAATTTAGACCTATCCCATGTTTTCTTATTTATTTATTATTATTTTATGTCAATTCTTCATTTACTTCACATGCAACAAGCTTCACTTCTAAATGTCTAAGATCTGAAGTTGCAAATAGTACTATAATAGTAATTTATAGAAAAAATCATAATAAATAGATTTATTATATTTGTATATGCAACACAATCTTTTTGTAGCTATATTGTAGGTACTCGCACAATATATATATATATATATACATATATTCTCAATGATAATATACATATTAATATATACTATAATAAATATGCCACTACTTTGTTATATTTGTATAACAATAATTACTTATTACAGAGTAGGTACAAATTACTAAATTTTTGTTACCATAATATGGAAATTAAAAACTTAGCATTTTGGTCAATGTTATGCAAAGTACAAGAAAACATGTGAATTTTTCAAATTTTAAGAGGAATCCTATATCATACACTCCCTTCATTTAAAAATGTATAGTATTTTTAATTGAATTTTATTCCTAATAAAGTAGTTATTTATTTTTAAACAATCCTATCTTTTCATATTTACCTCTATGTAATAAAGTGTTTCACCCTAAAAAAAAATATAAGTATAGGAGCACTTTTAGAAAAAAAATAATGATTACACCTTAAAAAATTTAAAATGTCTTATATTTTTTAATATCTAACCCCTCAAAAAATATCTTATATTTTTAAATAAAAGGATTATATATTCCCCTCGAGAGGGTATTACAAGTGGGGTTACAACCTTCCAAAGTGTCACTTCACCTATAACAAACATTGTTGGTAAGGCTAGGGCAATTATGCGCTGTATGAATAGAGCCCATAGTACCCTCATGTTAGGGAGGTTGTCTACAAACAATCCTTGGGTAGTGCTGCTTCTTTGAGTGATGGGTTTCGAGTGTTTATGGATGGAGCATACTGAGAGATCAGGCGTGGCAGGTTGTGGAGGGGTAGTTCAGGACCACCTGAGGAAAGTGGAGGGAGCATTTATGCTCTGTTTGTGGGAACCTGACGCTGAAGTCTGGGATTGAAGTTTGCCTGGGACAATAGGTATTCGAAAGTGTCTATTACTAAGTGACTGAGAGGAGTTGATTAACCTAATTCAAGGAGCTGATATTGAGCTGCATGCACGAAGAGATGAGATTTGGGAGATTCGCAGCTTTCTCCAGCGTGACTAGAGTGTTAATTTTTGTCACCTTCCAAGGGATATGAATTACGTAGCTGATCGTCTTGCGAAGATGGCCCTTGCTGCAGAACCTGCAGGCTTCCATGTTGCTCCCCTTGAGGACCCCACGTTTGATGTTTTGCTTCGGCCTCCTTATGCTTTTGTAATTTTGCTTCTTGTCTTTTGTATTCCTTTTTTATCAAATGATAATGATTAATAGAATATCTTTTTAATCTTTTAATTTTAACATTAAAATTTTATCACAAAAAAAAATTAGATCCAGTAGTTCAAGCGAGCTAGGCTTATTCAAGCTAGACTCAATTCAAGTCAGGCTTATTCAAATTGAATTTAAAGTATTTTACCCTCTTAAAAAAGCCAATATAGTTAAACCCGGCCCTAACATTTTTCAGTCGAATTCGGGTTAACAAATCGAGCTTGGCCAAAATTATCAAATCTATATACATATAGAGCTAAAAATTTCTGCAGTCAAGCTTATTTAAGTCGGGCTCAATTTAGGTCGGGTTTAAAATATCCTACCCTTGTAAAAAAACTTATATGGCTAAGCCCGACCCTAATTTTTTTAGGCGGGATCAAGTTAACTCATCGGGCTTGACTCGAATTATTGACTCAAAAAAAAAAGTAGGATAAATTGGCCCATTGGCCAAAAATATTCTGTAACTAGAAAAAGTGGACCAAATTTTAAAAAATTTAGGACTATGGCTGATTTACATTGATATACAAAGGATTTATCATTGATATATAAGGAATTTATCATTGCTTTACTAGGAGTTTATTATTAAAAATTTACAAAAAATTTATCATTAATATACATCATTAACAAATATAATAAATCAGCCATAATGTAAAATATAATAAATGTTAGGTTGTTTGTTTAATTTGATCTTATAACATAAGCTATATCTACAGAAGCCTAAAAAAACTATACATTAAACTTTAAATATTAATAAATATTCTCAAATATTGATATATTATATTTAATTGTTTTAAAATAATCATGACTGACACAAAAATTAATTATTTGAAACTTACAATGCTAATATTAGAGGACTAAAAAATTAAAGGAACAATTTGAAAACTTATACAAAGTTATAGAATTAAAATTACACTTTAGCCAAATCATTTTTTCCTTAATTATTTTTCAAGAAACATCTATACAGTACACTTATATTAATAAGTGGGGTAACGTTCGTCATCAATTTAATCATGATTTACCCATATGTAATATGTGTGAGCCTCATCGACCATTGGACTTGGCTTATTATCATTGGCTTAAAATGTTAATTTCCTTCTAATTTTTTTTTTCTAAAGGTACTAGATACCTTAAAATCATGTTAAAATAAAATTTAATAAATAGTTAATTTAATAAAATCCTGTGAAAATATTAAATATTTTAATATTTAATAATTTAAATATTATTATTAATACATATACCTCCAAAATTTAGGAATGATGTTTTAAATTTATAAATTAGTTTTAAATATTAACGTCAAAGAATGAGATTTGATAATGTTATATGTTAATTTCAAAAGAAGTTTGCAAGTTACGTCAGATATACAAGGTTCATAAGACAAATAATGAAATGATCTCTACTATGTTATTAATGTGACTAGGCAGAGAAATGATTCATGATGTACTCTGATGTTAAGAAAATGTACCAAGTTGCCTCGTTTCTTTCACTATAGAGAAAGAATCAGATTGTGCGATGGGCATAAATCTCTTGTTAGGATTCATCACAAGGATCTGGATTGCTTCAATTCATTGCCTCTAATTAAAATGAAGAAGAATGGGGAGACATGGATGAAGGAAGGATTAAGAGGAGCGCCGGCGCTTGGGAGATATGGTGTGCAAACAGTAAATCATCTAAATTGTCACATAGGATTATAATCACCTAAGTTGTTACATTTTTATTGGGTAGAGTAAATATGACTCCATAGATAGCCCTACTTGACACCCCCTCCCAATGGAGATTTGAGTTTGTGAGAAATTAATCGCTTTTACCAAACCCAACATCTATGAATGCTTGCTTGGTTGTTGCAAAACATGAGAATGAAATGAAATTTAAAAAAACAAAAATGAATTAAATTATTTTCCTTATTATGGTAAGTATAATAAAATTTAATATTACATCTCATAAATTTGGAACTCACCACAACTTTTCCAAACCTAATGAATCATAACTCCAAATTTCATGAACTAATCAAATTACTTCCTCCCCTTGTAAACAAGATTGACCTTATCCCCTCTACTTTTTACTTATTTTACTTTTACTATTTTTAATTCGTTTTATTCTCATATTTTTTTTAGCAACCAAACACTCTCTAAGCAATCGTGTTCAACCATAATTCAATGAAAACAAAGGAGCAACGTAAAAACTACAAAATTGTTAATCTTAAGATAATTATTAAACTTTCTATGATTTAATTTTCTCTTCATTTAGTTATTCTTATTTGAATATTTTAATTTTTGTTTTCTTTGTTATCAATTTTTATATCATCTCTCTTTTTCAAAGAATATAAAGTTGTTAATTTTTACTAAAAATAAATAAAGTGCTTATTAAAATTACTTATAACTATTAACAACATTTTGAGCTAACGAGAAAATTAAGGTTTTTTTGTCCTCACTTTCCCATTAATGATTTTAAAACAATGAGTTATGTAATATTATTTTTATTGAGAGGCACAAAAGATATTTTTAAATTAAACAATTTCTTATTATTTTTTAATTATATTCTAATTTTTCTTTGTCTACATTGGCTCCTTAAGTTCTGAATCTTTTGGACTTGCTATCCGCATAGGGAAGCCTTCTTCACATCTCTGCTAACGAAGGCCAATATTTTGGGCGGTTCAGATTTAAATTTTTTATTTTTATTTTTAGTTATCAAAATAATAAAATTTTAACTTGTAAACAAATTAAATAAATGTGTTTACTAGTCTGGATAATTTAGATTTAATATTAAATTTTTTTATAAATTTTTAATATTAAATTTGGATAATTCATGTTACATCTGAAATGTCCAAACTGATAAATAAATTTATTAAAAAATTTATAATTTATATAAATTTTTTATTTAATAAAAAATAAATTAAAATAAAAAATAAAAAACATTAAATTTGGAACGTCCAACTTTAATTTGGACAGTCTAAATATTAGCCTCCATGGTCAAAAGTGTGAAGGAGGCTTTCCTTTATGGGAATCCTAGGTTACCTTTAATAGATTTTCAAGGGATTTTATAGACACGTAGAAAATTCTCTTTAATAGCAATTTAAAAAACAAACTCATTCGCGATTTTGAATGTAAAACCAAAACGATGAATTTGGGCTCATATTCTATTTCTATTCTTGAGAATTGATACATGATTATTGAAATTATACGTTCATCCATTTATCAAATCAATGTTTCATGTCTATCTATGACTATCAATTTATAAAATTGACAACATTACCATTGCAAATATATTGAACAACAAGCGTATTACTTTAATTAAAAAAGAAAAATGAAAGAAACATTCTCTATGAGCATGCAGAACCTGAAAGGACTATAAGGGAATATCATATGCATTTACCAGCCGGATATCAACATATATTTTGTTGCAGTAGAGAATGATCAGCTAGTTCAATTGTGTTGACGTTTACACCACACGATCAAACAGAAGATTGTCAACAATTTAGAGCAAAATGGTTTATTCAAATATTCCATTTGTCCTCCATCGCCTTGATAACTCTGGACAAGCAATAAGTTGGAACCAGCTCGTATTCAGAAACTGCAAGCCAATAAAACTAGGGAATGAGGGAAAATCAGATCAATGAGGCAATGACAGTAAAGTCATTGAAACACATCATGAATGTGCAGAGTTCAGATACTCTTCTACTCTTAGAATCTTTTTTTTAAAAACATTTTAGTCATGTGTAAATATTGCCCCAAAACAGAGTGAATCACAATTACTGAATAGTTACTAACAAAGATCATAATTGAATTCAACATTTTTCATCCCCCATGCAACTCAGTCTTGCCAAGTGTACAATACTTATTGGCTTCAAAGTTCTATTTATGTTGATACAAGTTTCAATCAAAGCTTCGTATAATAAAATGAAATCAGCAACCTTATACGAAAGACGGTTTGGTGTTTCAATACTGTGTCAATAAACTACCAGCATTACTTTCAAGGAATATGTGGGCTCGTGCATGCTTGATGCCAATTGCTGTATGTGGAAGTCGTTCTGAGATGTAGCTAGCAATTTTCATGTGCAAATTGATAATTGTAGAAAATAATGAATATGGAAGAGAACAAAGAATAGTTGGATACACAAAAACTATACCTTTCACAAATTCATCAAGGAATCCCTCAATCTCCTCATTGGCAATTTGGCCTACCTAAACACATTAATTTTCAAATCGTGCATTCTTAATTGCAAAATGATGTGACAGAAAAGAAAGAAAGATTCAATTCTTGGCTACACACCACAAAAACAAAAGAATGCATAAGAGAAGCATTTTTAATGTAGTCCTGAAAGTTGATTGAAGCTGAGCCTTGTGAAGTAGCTCCATGCAAGCAGCCTAAATTCATAATCAAACAAAGCAGGCAGCTAGTTACTTAAGAAATCAACATAGTAAAAATGCCAAGGCCATCTCTGTTTACCTATTTTCCTTGAGTTTGCAGGCAAATTAGCCAATAAACTTGACAAGTCAGTGATTTTATGCCAGAGGACTTCATTAGTCACAGGATCCCTTTTCATTCCATTTTGGAATAACTCACCTACAAGGATCCAAAAGTGTTGTATTAAGATTTACTTGGCATAACAGATTAAGTATCATAATGAACTCACACTAGTGCCAAATAGCAGGACAATATTGCCTTCAGATGTATCACGTAAGCATATTACTCACGTAACAAAGCTTCAAATTCTGCCGGTCGAGTTACAGGGCTCCAATTGGGTTTGATCTCATGGTAACCCTTGGGCCCAAAATTGACAAAGACAGCACGTACACACCCAGCAGAATGAAGTTTGCTCGATAAAATTTGTTCCAGTGGCTGAAAACATTACAACCATGACCAAATTGGAAGGAGAAAAGCTTAGGTTTTGTGTGAAATGACAAATGAGCTTAAGGAGACAAATATCAAGCAAGTGGAAGACATGTGTAACGATAACGTCAAGAAAATCATCTTATAGCTTACTGTTCAAATTACTAATTGATTGGCAGCAGTATCAGACCACAAACCAAGAAATGAAGCTTAAGATTGCAAAACGATTGCAAGATAAGGGGAATTTCTATTGATCAATTATAGTTCATCACATTTCCAGGAGAGCTACGATATCTAGATTGATTTGAAAATAGAGAACATTGAGTTTGAAATCACCAACCGAGATGTAAGTTGCCGCAAGATTCTCAATACGATATGGGAGGTTAGGCTGAGCCTGCATAAGCACTTGTTAGTTGACTTTCCATAATCTGATAGTCAGAAACTTGAGTTTTCCAATTGGCATTGTAATAATATGTAATTCATAACGATAACAACGCAAAAATGAAAAGGTTCGTCCGCAATTCCTTCGATTTTCCTTTCCGTTCATTGCACTGGTACAGAGTACAGCCGTGAAAGTCTCTTTCGTAGCTGTACTGTTATTAACTTCCACTATTACTTCTATCCGAGCTTATAATTGATTATCTTACATGAAATTTCTCTTTCGTGATCTCCATACTATTTGATTAATTCGTTTTACTGTTCTTTTAGCGGATATCATTATTAATCGATTATAACTTTCTTGCAATACATTATTAATGACTGGATGATGATTCATACGTCTTTTTACTCAAATTATTCCAGAAAGATTGAGTAAATTTTAAACGGTACAAAATCAGAAGTCATGCATAGAAATTAATTAGCATTTTCACCCCAGGGGCATCATCATCAGCGTCAAATGGAAGGTTGTTGAGCAAGAAAACGACGCTTCCTGATTCTTGAATGGCTTCCTCACCGGCCGGCGACATTTCCTCGTTGTTCGGAACGGGTCCCACTTCCATCAGCTTGCCGCCTTCGTCAACATGCTACTCTTTTGGAGGAAAACGTTTATATTGAAATGCGTTATTATTTTTTTTAAAAAAATCTCTCATTATTAAACTCAATATATTTTTTTAGAGAAAATTACAATTAGTTTTCATACAAAAGAATTAATTATTACAAAATTTATTAACAATTGAATTAAACTGATAATTGGTTATATTGTCAATATAATTCAGTTCAATTGTTAATAAATTTTACAGCAACTAATTTTTTTTATGTAGAATTTTAATGTAATTTTCTCTCTCTCTCTCTTTTTTAACCAACTCATTAAACTCAATATATATACACACACTTTTTTTTTTTGCCAGAATATATATACACACACCCGATGATTTGCCAACATATATAATATAATTAATTAGGAGGTATTGAAACCAACTAATTCATAATTGCACCTGTGCTAGTGCTTTCGATCTTATTCAAATTTTATGAACAATGAAAGGATAATAAAATAAGAAATTAAGAATGAAGTAAGAGCGAATGATGGTGAAAGACAAATAATACAATTATGAGGCCACTAATTGAATAAAAGCTTAAAAGGGTTTCAAGAAAAATTTATGTGGAACGTTTTTTGCCTGCCTTAACTTTTGAATAGTACAATGTTATTTTAAAAGTTTGGAAAATAGTGCAATGTTACCTTTTGGTAATATTTAAGTAACACTAATTATTAGTTGAAAAAATCTGACTAGAATCAAAAACCAATTTTGCCCTCAAAAGTTTATTTGGAAAAGCAGTTGGTATTCTAAATTTTTTTAATTAACACAATGTTTTTGAGTTGAATTATATTGAATATTTCTAAGTCAAAATCCAAGCTAATGTTGCCAACAAGTAGGTTTGAAAAAGTTTATATATATACATATATATACACATGTGTTTTTTGGCTATGCCTGCTTAACCTGACACCTTCGCATAGACACATGTTTGGAATATCTTATAAGCAAAATAAGGACAAGCCGGATTTTACTCAAGAGAAAGTATGTAGAGTGCTGAGACAAAGTTGATTTAATGCCCAAGCAACCTCGATAAGCTTTTTTGTCAAAATTTAAAGATACCGACCATTTTTCAATATTGATAACAAGTTATAATGTTTTGCTTTTCTGATTTAAATGATAATAACTTAAAAACATTGTGTTAATCGAAAATTGAAGATATAAATTTCTCATTTAGAAAAACTTTCAAAATAAAATTGCTCTTTAATTTAATTTAGTTGAAATTTTTCAACTAAATATCAACCATTGGTCAAAGATTATCATATGACAACATTAATGTTGCATCATTTTTTAAATTTTTGGAATAATATTACATCAATCATAACTCATTGATACCAGTTTCACGAGGCAACAAAAGGTTAAGAATAAATTTGTCCTTGAATAAAACATACAAGAAGATGTGCAGCTATATATGCAGAGCTAATGAACAAAACAGTTAACAATCCGATTCAACCATGATTCAAGGAAGTCGTCAAATGTAAAACACTAATTAAGATAATTGTGAATCTTTCTATGATTTAATTATCTCTTTATTTATTTATTAGTTATTCTTATTTGAATATTTTATTTTCTTGGTTACCAAGTTCTATCATCTCTCTTTTTCAAAGGATATATAATTGCTAAATAACTTTTGTCAAAAAAATAATAATAAATAACATACGGAATAAATATCACTCATAATAACTATACTAACAACATTTTTTAAGTAAAGATAAATTTAAGGTTTCTATTCTGTCATCACTTTCCAGTAATGATTTTCAACAAAAATAACCTATATAATGATATTTTTTATCGAGACGCACATAAGATATTTTAAATTATAAAATTATTTTTTGCTGTTTTTGATGTAATTTTATTCCATTTTATGTCTAAATTGGCCCCTTAAATTGTGAATCCTTGATGGTCTTCAATCAGAATTCTCAAAAGACCATACTTGAAAAATTTAATGCGACATGTACTCTAGATGCAGGCCTACGAAAATTTATTCACAGACAAAAACAACAGCATTCGGCAAATATATGGTACGCGAAACTTATTGCTTTCATTAACAAGCAAATCAAAGCAAAAATTCAACATGAGCAAGAAAAATATGACGGGATTATAAGGGATTATCTTATTTATTTACAACCAAATATGCACAATTTTTTGGTGATATAGAGAGTGATCAACTAGTTGGGTTCAATTGTGCTGATATTTACGCCACCCAATGAATAAAAAGATAGTCTACAATTTAGAGCAAGATGGTTTTATCCAAATAATTTGTCCTCCACAGGATCGATAACTCTCAACAAGCACAAATCAGCATCCAGCTTGGATTCATAAAATGCATGAAAATGGAAGTGAGTGATGGAAAATTAGATCAATATTCATAAACCAGATGACCTATTTGAATGTTTGGTTAAAATGAGGGAGTGATTTACTCTATTGACGGTGACACTTAACACGCATCATGAATGTGTGCAGGACATAGATACCCTTATCCCTAATTTTCGAAGTTTTTTTATCACTTTTTGGTTCTGAGTAAATCATTCCGGAGATGTTCCTCTTTGGCCAAAAAAAAAAAAAAAGTCATTCAGGAGATATGTATTCTTGCTCTAAGACAGAATGCATCACAATTAGCGTATTGTTACTAACAAGGATCGCCAGCAATACTTGAATTCAATACTTTTTCTGCGTTCAAGTGGTTCAGTCTTACCAATTGTACATCCTTATTAGCCTCAAAGTTCTATTTATACATGTCAATACAGGTTTCAATCAAATCTTCCAATGATAAAATGAAACCAATAATCTTTTATGAAAGTTGGGTTGGTGTTAAAATAATTACATCAAGAAACTGAGAACCTTACTTATACAGAAGGTATGTCTGTGCCTGTGCGCGCATTATGATGCCAATTGCAGTATGTTGAAGTTGTTGATTAATTTATGTTACCGTACAACCAAATCTTCAAACAAATACATGAATTAACTAGCTTCCTTGAGGTCTCTCCCTCTCGAGGGTTTTCTCTCAAGGGGTGGTGGGAGTGCGTCTCGTCCGTGCAAGTGAAGGTTCACGGCGTCTCCCTTTCCGACTTTTGTCGGAGGCGGAGACGTTCATGCTTTGTGTTCGTCGTGGTCTCATTTCTGTTTTTTTTTTTCTTTTTTGCTTGGTTTTGCCGATGGATAGGTGGTTCGTTGGCTCGGCAATAATCAGATCTAAGGGGCGTTCCCTGCGATGTTGCTTGCTTGGTGGTGGTTTTGCTCATGGTTGGATAGAACTGGAGCTAGTTACTCAGTTTTGCATTTTTGGAGATGCAACAGTGACAACCATTTTTATGGTGGTTCTTATTGGATCCTTGCAGTGGTGGCATTTCTGGGGTGTTAGCGACAGATATCTCTTATACCATTGGGCGATGTCTCATGGTGCGGGCTCGCCGTCTCTTTATTTTCTTCTTCCTGTTGTGTTTGTTTCGCCGGCGTCCATGGTTGCCTGCCCTACTCTAGGTTTCACTCACGGTGGCAGTTCCTCAACCTCTTTAGTTGCTTCCTTAAAAGGGGCGGGACCTTTTGGGTTGTTCTTTGAACCCCCACCCCTTATGGCTCAGAAGTTTGTTGGTGTTTTTTTCTTGCCTATGGATTTCCATACAACGATGGCAGTCATTTCTAGCGGTGGCAACGGTTGCTTTGAGCCCTTGTTGTTCTGTTACTTAGGGCTAGGGTTTTGTGGGCTTATTTGTTTCTAGTCTGTTTCTCTTGGTTCTTGTGGGCTTTGTCCCTTATTTTGTTTGTCTCTTTTTTTTATATATTTTTCATCTGATAAAAAAAAATTAACTTCCTTACAAGTATCAATGACTTCTAAAATGAAGATTCAGATGTCTCTCTACTAACATTAATCAAAATGTCAAGAAAGATTAATATTATTTTACATAGTAAACCAGAAGTCATGGATGACACTTAATTAGCAATTTTACCCTAGAGGCATCAATGTCATTTTTAGGATTGTCAAATGATAGATTGTTGTTTGCTGAAATTAAAGCCATCAAATGTGGCTTAAAATTATGCGTAGACATGAACTTAGATGAGGTAGAAATCTTTACAGATTCCATGGATGCTATGTATTACATTTACAGAGGCATTAATCAAACCCATCCTTTTTTTGAAGACATTCTTGAGGTTCAGGGGACTTTGTGTTCTCATGAAGGATGTAAACTTTTATATGCTCCTCGTGAACAAATGATTTGTGCAGATTTTTTGGTGAAGATATTTAATAGGGACTTTGTTTTTCTTGAGGATATTCCTACTGGTTGTGAGGCGCTCATTTTGTCTGACTATAGTGGGAGTCTGTCCCACTGATTCCTAGCAAACTTGAGTTTTCTTTTGTTTTTACTAGCTCCGGCTAGTCCAGTTTGATGGGAAAAAAAATGATAGACTGTTGATCAAGAAAATGATGCTGCCTAATTCTTCAAATGGAAATGCTTCCTCACCAGCCAACGACATTTCCTTATTGTTGTTCCGATTGGGACCCACTTCCATCAGCTTGCGTTCATTGCAACTTGCCACTTTCTACTCTTTTGAGGGAAATATTATACTCTCTTTAATCTTTATTATAATACATTTTCAATCATTTCATGTATATTAAAAAAATTTTACTATCATAAAAAGAAAGATGTACTTTTATTTTTATCCTTCACTTTAAATAATAATATAATTATATTAAATATCTCAATGCTAATTAAGACAAGGTGAAATTAAAAAATTAATTTAATTATTACAAATTATTTTTTATTTTAGATCAAAATTTATTTTTAAAAGATATTTTATAAATAGAATAGGAGGAAATGTTTGAATTCTTCCCGATGCTTTTTTGTAGCATGCACATGGAGTTTGGAGAAAGGGGAAAACGACAAAACAATACCCTCAAAGTATGGAAATAATAAATAGATGATATAAGATGTGATGATTACTACTTAGTTTCTAAGAACTTATATTGCATTTTAATTTTTGACAAAAAGATATATTTACCTCAGAGACTATTATATATTAAAAAAATGATTAACAAATAGGAATAGAAAATGACTACTTTTTTTTTTTGCAACTTTGTCTATCAATCAAATGAATTAAAGTAATCGTTTTTAAAAAGAAAGTAAATCATTTTCTATTTTATTTATAAACAACAAATTATAGAACTCATTTCATATTCTATTTTAGTCAATAGGTGAATCAAAGTAGTCATTCCCAATTTTTAATGCTTGCACTTAACTGATAAACAAATTAACGTATAAAAGTAGTAATTTTTTATTTTATTTTAACTAGTCCAATTAAAATAATCATTTCCAAACACATAATAATCACAAAGATCAAATATATATGATAATGTCAGACAAATTTCTAAAAAATAAATAATAATTGTCACATATAGTATATTACTACTGTTTTGTCGTTCTAAATTTTTTGTTTTGGCCGCAAGCATGATTGGCTTTAAACAGCCTGTTTTATTTTTTTCCCCACTGCCCATGATTTGCTAAAATTCTTCTTCTATAAGTTTTTCATTGTGGTCAATTTCTATGATTCAAAATCTTTATATCTATTTATATCTTTTAGTATAGTTGTACTCTTGACCAATGGTAAAATAATACTTATAATTTTTGAATAAAATATACATATTCTTCATAATGCAATTAAATATTATAAGATTCATTGATAACTTAACATAAAATAAAAAGTGATATTAGATATTTTAAAATTTGTTATTAAAAGTGACTTCTTTTGTAAAAAAATCACAAAAAATGAAAACTATCTTGTGTTTGGTCGAAATTATAAAAAGTGGCTTGTAGCACAAACAATAATATTTTGGGTCCCTTAAATATCATTTCAGAGTTTTATCTTTGGAGGTATGTAAGGAGAGCATTTCTTAAGAGAGAATAACCTCTAAAATGAATTTCATAATTGTGAAAATATATTGAGAAAAAATGATTTATTATTTAATAATCTTAAAATTTTAATATATCTTTTGGATATTTATTCATAAAAAATGATTTATTATTTACTTATTTTAAAATTTTAAAATATTTCTACTATCTTTATATTTTGATAATTTTTTAATTTATTAGAGTTGAAATAATAATTAATATTTTTTATTCTAATTATTTATAAAATTTAAACAAGCAAGATAAAAAATTTTAAAAGTAATTTTTATAAAAAATAATATTTTTCAATTAAAAAGTATTTTTCTTGGTTCTCAAGTTCTATATCATCTCTGTTTTTCAAAGAGTATATAATTGTAAGTTATTTTTGTTGAAAAAAATTAAATAAAATACGAAGTAAATATCACTCAAACAACATTTTTAACAAACGATAAAATTAAGGTTTCTAGTTTGTCGTCACTCTCCATTAATGATTTTGAACAAAAATAACCTATATTGTATTTTTTTATGAGAGGCTCATAAGACATTTTTAAATTATAAAATTATTTTTGTTGGTTTTAATGTAATTTTATTCCATTTTATCGAAAAATACAATATTGTTACTTTTTTTAGGGAAAAATAATTTTATTCTTTTTTATGTCTAAATTGGCCCCTCAAATTGTGAATCCTTGATTACCTTAAATCAAAATTTCACTACAATAAAATAAGCTAAATATGACGATTTATATTTGACGGTTATAAGTAAAAAATAAAAAATAAAAAAGGTGCTAAATACTTGACGGTTGTTTCAAAACAACCGTCAAGTATTTAGTATATATTTGACGGTTATATTGGCATAGCCGTCAAATATATATGTATCCCAGATTTAATTTTTTTATAAATATATTTGACGCTTATTTTATAATAACTATCAAGTATATTTTGGTGTACTTGATAGTTATTTATAAAAAAGTGTCAAATATATGGTTCAAAAGAAAAAAATAAAAAAAATTAATTACTTGACACTTGTTTACTAATAACCGTCAAGTATGTCTGCATTTTATTTGATGGTTATTTAATAACAAGCGTCAAGTAATTAATATTTGACGATTATTATGAAATAACCGTCAAGTATTGTCTTTTTGATGGTTGTTTGTAAAAAAGTGTCAAATATATGGTTTAAAAGGAAAAATAAAAAAAATTAATTACTTGACGCTTGTTTATTGATAACCGTCAAGTATGTCTGAATTTTATTTGACGGTTATTTAATAACAAGCGTTAAGTAATGAATACTTAATGGTTATTATGAAATAATCGTCAAGTATTATCTTTTAAATTTACGCTTCAGAACCTTTTATTTTTACATTTCTACAACTCAAACGTTTTTGAAAATACACTCAGAGTGCTCGGAAATCATTTTCTATTACTAAAACTGCCTAAAAACACAGATTTAGACTCGATTCTTCTTGGGTTTTGCTCGTGGGTTCCATTTTTTGGGGTTTGTGGGTTGTTCGTTCATTCAAATCTTCATTTCGGGCATTTTGGGTTCGTTCTCCGTCTTCCATATGTAAGTTTAATTTCTTCTTCATCTGTTTAATTTATATTTGGATTTAGTGTTTAGGGTAAATCTGACTTCAAATTCCCCTACTTACTTTTCAACAATGCAAAACGCGAGTTGTCTTCTTTCCTCCTTTCCCTGCTCTTCTTCTTCGTCCTCGTGCTCTGCCCCTCTTAAGTAAGTTGGCCTATCCTTCTTCCTTGTGATATTGTTGTCAATTGATTGTAATTAGGAAGTTGATCGGAATTAGCAATTGGAATATGAATTTTTTGTTCATTAGAACTACGATTTGTGATTGAATGCATATAGGCTTTTGTTTTCAGTTCTTTGTTAGTTTTGAAATTAAATTTAAAATTATATGAAAATTACTTTACTGTTAAGTATTATATGAATTTGTTGAAAATTGCTTCCCTTGTTGTGGTGATGGTGATTAATTTTGTTGTTGGATAACTTGATTAGATATGATTGAGTTATATTGAATTTATAGGACAAAATAGATTGTTGGGATAAAATTTTTATATCAATTATTGTTGGGTAACTTGATTGAATATAATTAAGTTATATGAGAACTTGAATGATAAAACTTTTTGTTTAAGTTGATTAATTGTGTTCTTTTTATTTAAGTTAATTAATGTTTGAATTAATTGTGTGCATTTTGTTTAAGTTGATTAATTGTGTTCTTTTTATTTAAGTTGATTAATGTTTGAATTACTTGTGTGCATTTTGTTTAAGTTGATTAATTATGTTCTTTTTATTTAAGTTGATTAATGTTTGAATTAATTATGTGAATTTTGTTTAAGTTATTTAATGTTTGATTTAATTGTCTTCCTTTACAGATAAATGGCTTCTGATAGCGAGTCTGTTGATACCCCTCCATCAATTCTAGCTACAAATTCGACTGAGGTTCTGAGTACACAGAAAAAGCTAGAGTAGGAGTACAATAACATTCAACGGGGCCTAATGATAATGGAAGATGTGACAAAAACAAGAGCTGCAGAAAAAAAAATGATGTGCAATGGAACAAGAAAGGGCAAACAATTAAATCCTCAAAATTTATAAGTTATATTGGGGTAGTGGTAAAGACTACTGTGCCTATCACAGTAAAATCATGGCACAAAGTAAATGAGGCCACGAAGGCTCTTATTTGGAATACTGTAGCAGTAAGTTACATTTTACTAAGTATATTTTGGTATAAACTATTTTTAAAATTAATGTATCTAATATGTTGTTTATTTAATTTTGCAGTCAGAATTTGACATTGATGAGAGTAAGCAAGATTTTGTCCTACAAAAGGTTGAGAGGGCACTACGGTCTTTCAAATATTTCATCACACAGAAATATTTGAAAGATCCTAATGCTGAATTTGTAGCTCGAGTTCCTCCCTTATTACAGCCTTTGGTAAAACAAGAGGATTGAGATGCTTTTGTTGCCTCACAGTGTGAGAGGGAATTCAAGGTATTAATGTTTCTTAAATTTCAAGTTTGGTGTTATTTATTGATTATATGTGTATGTACTAACAAAAATTTTTGTTATTAACTCGTCAAGGAATTAAGTACACAGAATAACGAGAGAGAAGCGAAGAACGAATATCCTTATAGAGCAGGGAGGTTGGGGTATGCAGGCATTGAGCAAAAACAATTAGAGGAGGAGCGATCAGAGGTTACCATATCCCGCCATAAGCTTTGGGCATTGGCATGCACTAATAAAGAAGGAATTATTGACAACCCTCGCGTGAAGGAGGTTACTGAAAAGATTGTAAGTATTATATTTATCTACTACTTAATAATTAATTATGAATATCCAAACTAATCATATTTACTCTACACAGGATTCCATCTCTCAGGAAGTCTCACAAGGCAACCTTCCTAAGGATGAGGATATCTTGGCTAGGGCGTTGGGAACTGCTGACCACCCTGGTCGTGTCAAGGGTGTTGGCTTCGGAGTCACGAAGAAGTAATATTTTGGCAAGATAAAAAAGCGAACATCAGCTTCTTCGTCTGAGGTCCAAGAGCTGAGAGAAGAGCAAACCGTTATGAAGCAGCAACTACTAGCCCAGGCAGCATTAATTGACATGTTGTTGAAAGGGCAAGTCCTTGGGAGGACTTTGGGTGAGATTAGCCCTAGTCAGAAAGATAGTTGCACAGTCCCCTCAAAAAAACTACCTGAGGTAATATGTTTTACCTTATGAATTTGTCTAATTATTTTTATTTTAGAAACTAATTGTCATTGTTTGTTTAATTAGGATGAGAACGATTGCAATTGTTTGGAAAACACTCCTAAACGTAGAGTGGTTGCAATAAGGCGTGTGTACAACATTCCCGAGGACACAATCCATAATCATTCCCTCTCGCCCGACTGTGTTAGAGTTTCTCTACTTGTTGCCATTGACCCCAACTATCCATTACCTGTTCCTACTGATGAGGCACAGACAGTGGGGGAAGCAGTAGGGAGCTTCATTGCATGGCCTAGCCACCTTATAATAGTGGTAACACCAAAGCCGGCAAAGGACCCATTGCCTCCAAAAAAAGGTATGGTTTAAATAGTTATTTATAATTTTATAATCTAATTATAAATATCTAACTTTTTTGTTGTGCAGCTGAGAGGAAAGAGCAAGCTAAAAAGTAAGTTGGGCCATACCAAAGAGTCAGCCACAGTTTTGCAATATCCAACAGCACCAGTGCCAGCTGTAGAATACAAATACCATGCCTCTCTTGAGACATATGCGATGGCTATGATGATGGCTCGTCAAGTTGCGATTGGGGATATCATTTGTTTTGATAATGGGCTATATGGAAGATCGGGCTTGTTTGAAGTTGTTCGGAATGAAATTTTAAATGAAATTATTAAGCACAAAATGGCCAATACTAGTCTGATGAGCTTCTACATGAGGTATGTCTTCGATAATGCTCAGTTAATTACTTAAATTATATATGTGTGTGTGCGCGCGCGCGCGCGTGTATTAACCTGATTATTTTTTTACCTAAGCCACCTTTATACCTCATTTGTGGTTCCTGGCGACCTTGAGTTGATATTCAAGCTGATTAATCCCCACGATGTCTCTGCCTATAATGGAATTACAAAGGAAGCTCTTAAAGATCTAGCAAGGCAGCTTTCAAATCAATTTAAGAATAGGGGAGCAAGCAATGATACTTTATTTCTTGCTCCTTACTGTCAAGGGTAAGCCACTTTTAGCTACTTTTGGTACAAGTAAATATTTTTTATATTTACTTATTTGATAACACTTGTTATTTCTTATTAGAGGGCACTGGATGCTTATTGTGGTTAACCCTATTGCTTCAAAAATTTGATATCTTGATCCTCTTAACGGAGAACCAAGCAATAGGCTAGATATGATAAAACTTTTTAATAAGTAAGTTGAATTTTCATCAATTGTTATTTTAATATCCATATATATTGAATTTATAACATTTATTCTTCATTTCTTTCTTAGAGCTATGGTCTTGTATCGTACTATGACCAACAAGACCTTGTCCCCTAGCTTAAGGGTATCGGACTCTTGTGAGACATGGGTCACAGTTAAGGTAAACCTAATGGACTGAGTTTTTAATTAACAAACTGTGGCCTTTTAACTATTATTTTATTGATATGTGATTTTTTTTGTATAGTGTCTACTCCAGCCAGATCAGAGCAATGACTGTGGCTATTGCTCTTGAAGGACATTATCACCTATGCCCCTACCACATTACCTAACAAGGTATATATTAAATTTAATGATACTTAAATTATAAATTTTAACAACTTTTATTAGATAGCTATTAACTTGAATTTGTTGTAACTCTTTGCATACAGTACTTCGAGGATGCCTACTGTATTCAGTATGCAGCTGCACATATAGAGGAAATCCTTGAAGAGGTAGCTCAGGTCGTGTTTAACATGTAGATAATAGCAGTGGTTAAGCCCAATTAGTTTTGGTATACACATTTATTTTTTTGGTCAATTTTATATTTGAGGCCAATTAATTTTGAAATTTAAACTTGTAAAGTAGGTAAAGTTATAGATTTTTTATGGCATCGGGTTTAGAGTATAGGTAGATATAAGATAAATTAAAGATATTTAGATTGTAATTTCAATATAAATAATGATTCAATTGTTTTTTATTGTTGGCTGGCTGGTATATATATTTGATTGCTTTGTATTTGCAGGAGGCTACTTAAAAACTTTTAAAAAAACATATCATAAATACTTGACAGTTATTTAGAAAGAAACATCAAGTATAAATTTACTTGACGGTTATTTCAAAATAACCGTCAAGTATGTACGAATACTTGACGATTATTATGAAATAATGGTCAAGTATTTGGCATACAGAATTTGTAAAAACATATTTGACGCTTATTTTAAAATATATGCAAATGTTTAAGTGATTACTTGACGGTTATTTTAAAATAACCGTCAAGTAATCTCTAAAATATTTGACGGTTTTTAACCGTCAAATAAATATATGATGCCTCATTACTTGAACGGTTAAAAACTATCAAATAATTTCTAAAATAACCGTCAAGTAAAGGGTATTTTGTAGCAGTGTTTTCAAAAGATCTTACTTGAAAAATTTGATTCGACATGTACTCCAGATGCAAACCTACGAAAATTCTTTCATTGATTTCACAGACAATAACAATGGCATATAGCAAATCTATAGAAAAGGAAACATGTTGCTTTCATTAACAACCAAATCAAAGCAAAAATTCTACATGAGCAAGAAAAACATGCAAGGACTATAAGGGATTATCGTATTTATTTACCAACCAAATATGCACAAATATTTTGTTACAATGGAGTGTGGTCAATTAGCTGAGTTCAATTGTGTTGACATTTACACCACCCAATGAATAAAAAAATTGTCTACAATTTAGAGCAAGATGGTTTTATCCAAATAATTTGTCCTCCACCGCATCAATGACTCTCAACAAGCACAAATCAGCATCCAGCTTGGATTCATAAACTGCATAAAAATAAAAAGAAGTGAATGATGGAAAATTAGATCAATCTTCACAAGCCAGATGAAATATTTTAATGTTTGGTTAGAATGACGGAGTAATTTACGCCATTGACAGTGACACTTAACGCACATCATGCATGTGCACGGTATACATACTCTTCTAATTTTGGAAGGTTTTGTTTGTTCACATTTTGGTTCTAAGTAAATCATTTAGGAGACAAATATTCTTGCTCTAAGACGCAATGCATCAGTGCATCGTTACTGACAAAGATCACCAGCAACACTTGAACTTAATACTTTTTCTGCGTTCATGTGGTTCAGTCTTGCCAATTGTACATCCTCATTAGCTTCAAAGTTCTATTTATACATGCCAATACAGGTTTCAATCAAATCTTCCCATAATAAAATGAAATTAATAATCTTGTACGAAAGTTGGGTCGGTATTTGAATAATAATTACATCAAGAAACTGACACCCTTATACGGAAGGTAGGTCTGTGCGTGCACTGTAATGCCAATTGCAGTATGTTGAAGTCTTTCCGAGAAGCTAAGCTAGCAATCTTAATTAAAAGTTGTAGAAAATCATGGATATAGAAGAGAAAGAAGGACAGTAAGATAAACAATAATCTTACCTTTCACATAATCATCTATTTCCAGTTCGATATCCTGATTGGCGATTTTGCCTACCTATCCACATCAACTCATATCAGGATCGATATGAGAGCAATTAACAATTCAGAGAAAGATATTCATGTAAGAATGATCCTGTGCATAAAGTACAGTGGTATATATAGGATATATTGCTTCATAACTAACATAGCCACTAACTACTAACTTCTTTAACATGCTCCCTCAACCTGAATCTTTCTGCTACACATGTTCATCTTTTTCTATTACACCCCAGCTCAATGTGAGCCTTTCCTTCAGAATCCTCTAGCTTATATCTGAAATATAAGAAGGTTGCATTAGTAATTGGCTTTGTGAACACATCTGCTACTAGCTCTTGAGAAATGTGCCAAACCGCGATATGTTTACTAGTCACCTTTTCTCAAAGTATTAGCTATAGATCAATATGTTCAGCGCGTGATTCAAACATCAGATTCACAGACAATGCTACTGTACTGTAGTTGTCAGGATACGAGAGAAAAACAATTCAGAGAGAGATTTTGCATTACTGATTGATTTTGTGTGTAGAGTAGAGTCCACGGGGGCATATATAGGATACATTGGCTTCATAACTAACTAACTAACTATAGCTAACCATAATCCCATAACATAACTAGCATAACCACTAACTACTTACTATGAACTGCCAGAATTGTCAAATCATGCATTCTTTTCTTGAATCTGCGGTTTCAAAATGCAAAATAATGTGACAGAGAAGAAGAAAAGATTCAATACTTAAGTTACACACCACAAAAATATAAGTCTGCTCATCAAGAGAAGCATTTTCAAGGTAGTCCTTGATTGAAGTTACACCTATGGAATCAGCTCCATCCAAGCAGCCTTCCTTACGTTCATAGTCAAGTATAGCAGCTAGTTACTTAAAAACTAAATATGGTAAAAATGCCAAGACCATCATGCTTACCAATTAACTTTGTGATGGACCCTATGGCACGGGTGACATAGCATTAATGGCAACGAAGCCTGAGGATGGTAATCATGAGCATGGTGACATAGAAGGAGCCCAATACTTCCAATCCAACGTACCTAAAGATCCATTGCAACATATTGGAAGTCCAATGACAAGAGCCCGGACCAAAGCCATGAAGCAAGCCTTGTTCAGTCTTGTGCAAGAAGTTCAAGAGTTTGGAGAGTATTGGGACACTCCCCTCAAGTCCAAAGGAGAGCATCTATACGTGTATAATGTATTTAAGATCCAAACTCATGAAGAGTCAAGCCCAAGAGATGCAGACCTTAGCCCAATGCAAGGAAGACTACAAGTTGAGCCTCTTGCATGCAAGGAGGCATGAAACCCTAGTAAAGAAGTCAAGGGTGGCGTGATTTCAAATCTTTTATGATCCCTTGATTGTCTCCTAAATTATTTCCTATTTTAATGGTCCTTTGATTTGATTTTCTATTTTGAGTCTAGTCAAAGGTTAGAATTAATTATAATATTAATTTCTAAATTTTGTAATCCCATAATTTTAGGATCACATCTCCTAAATTATGTGGCTGAATATTTTATCATTATTTTATATTATTTCTCCTTTTAGTATTAGGAAATTAGAGTTTTAATTTTAGGAAATATTTTTCTATGAGCCTATATAAATTAGGCATGCTCCCTATTGTAAGGAACACAGAAGTTGAATGAAATTATTCATTTTAGAGTTTATAACTCTTGTGAGCCTTAGTGCTTTGTGGTGGTATCCCGTGTGAAAAACCGACGTGACCAAGAGCGTGATCAACTCTTGTGGTGTCTTCGAAGGTTGAGGTTCCTAGAGGCAGGTGCTCTAGAGGATCTTCTCCTTGATCATTATCCTATTATTTACTTCATACCTTTCTTTATTTCCGTCATAAATTTCGTCCCTTTCTTTTTGTTCTTGTGTTTTTGTTGTTTCAGGGTTCTGTCCCTAAATTAGCACGATTCTGCTTCCGCGTCCCTATCACTTTGAGTTTGCAGGCACATTATCTCACAAGTCAGTGATTTTATGACAAAGGACTTCATCGGTCACAGGATCTATTATCATTCCATTTTCGAATAACCCACCTACAAGGATTCACCAGTATTATATTAATATGTACGCAACAGAGTAATAATTAATAAATGAACTATCATCAGGAACTTGGTAAAGTCAAATAGCAGGTTACTATTGCCTTCAAACGTATTAAATATGAAGTGAGAACTGAGAAAACAAAAATTACTCACCTAACAGATTTTCAAATTCTCTCCGGTCATTTACTGGCCAGGACTCGGGGTTGAGCCAATAATAACCCTTGGGTCCAAAATTGACGTAGACAGAACGTAAACCTCCAGCAGAATTGAGTTGGCTTGATAAAATTAGTAGTTGTGGCTGAAGACATAACACGCATGAATAAGTTGGACGAACAAAAGCTTAGTTTTTGCATGAGATTAGATAAGAATACAAATTTCAAGCAAGTGGAAGACATGTCACGTGTGGAAAGGTCACGTCAAGAAAATCATTATAGCTTACAGTCCAAATTACTAGTTAATTGGCAGCAATATCAGGCCACAAACTAAGAAATGAAGCTTTAAAACTGCTTTAGGGCTTGCAATAACATAAATAAGGAAAAATTTTACCGGTTAAAGTTCATCATATGTACAGTCGATCTAGTATATCTAAACTGGCTTGTAAATATGAATTAAGAGTTTGAATTCACCAACCAACATGTAAGTTGCAGCAAGATCTCCAATATCATCTACGAGGTCGGGCTCAGCCTGCATGAGTACAAGGATGATAAATAACATATTAAGATCCACTTTTTAGACGACTTTCTATAACATAAAATTGAGTTTCTGAATCGAAACTGTAATGATAATTTATAACGATTTGAATACATTATAACGTTCATCCAAAATTCCTTCGATTTTCGTTTCCATTTTATTGCATTGGCACAGAGTACATGTGAAAAAAATAGCGAACAGAGATACTAATTAGCACTAATAATTGTATTATAGTTTATCATTGATTATCGTACAAGAAATTTCTCATTCGCGATCTCCGAACCATTTGATTGATTTGTTTTACCGCATAGCCCAATCTTTAAGCAAATACCATTAATTAATTAACTTTCTTGCAAGTATCAATGACTTCTAAAATGAAGATTCAGATGTCTCTTTACTAACATTAATCAAAATGCCAATAAAGATTAATGTTATTTTATACAGTAAATCACAAGTCATGGACGACGCTTAATCAGCAATTTTACCCCGGAGGCGTCAATGTCATCTTCAGGATTGTCAAATGAAAGATCGTTGATCAAGAAAATGACGCTGCTTAATTCTTGAAATTGAAACGCTTCCTCACCCGCGGACGACATTTCTTCGTCGTTGTTAGGATTGGGACCCACTTCCATGAGCTTGCCTTCGTTGCAACTTTCTACTCTTTTGGGAGAAACGTTACGTTTGAAATCCCCGGGCTATCGTGCCCGCCGCTTCCTTTTGTATCGTGCACGTTGGGTTTGAAGGATTGGAAAATGACAAAACGATACCCTTAAAAAATGCGAATAACAATTAAGTACTATAAAATTGATTATTATTATTATTATTATTTAGTTATCTCTAAAAACTTGCATGACATTTTCATTGCTGATGAAATGACTAATTTGATTAAGTTATTGACTAAAACATAATAAGAAATGATATATAAATTTGTTTTGTCAACCAAATAAATTAACAAAGATTATTTCAATTAATAAGAATTTGACTTATAACTCATGAGGTTATAAAAAAAAATTCTGCTATTAATGTAAAAACTTTATTAATGAGTATCTTGTAAATATGTAAATATTTTTGTAAATATTCTTGGAAGCATGTCTTGATTTTATAAACTTTTGAAACTCAACTCATCTAAACTTTCAACAACAAAAAAAAATGCAACTAAAATGATCATTTTTTAATCAATTTATAAATCACATATTTGCAAAACAAAAAAAAAATCATTTCCTATCTATTTTAGTCAATATGGAGCTCAAAATAGTCATTTCTCAATATATAATAGGTACTATTTTTAGTATTTACACTTACCCCTTCCAAATCACAATATAAGCATTATTTGATCCAAAATATAAAGTATTGAATAAGTGTTATATATATATATATATATATATATTCATTACACCTTTATTTTATTGAATAATTAATGAAGGTGTTTTAAATAAGTCAGATGTTATACTTATTACATTTAGGGCTCAATTGAAAAATATGTGAAAATTTTTAAAAGATCAAGATCTTAATCAATTTTTTTAAGAAACATAAATTAGTTAATAATGACTTATATTATAGTCTACAGCGAGTAATTGATAAACAAATTTGCAAAAAGAAAGTACTTCTTCTGTTCAAAAATGTAAGACATTTTTAGTTTTTTTGAGGTGTAATTATTACTTTTTTTAAAAAATACTCCTATTGATAAATGACTTTATATTTATCATAGGGTGTTTAATAGAATTAAATATGAAAAGATAGGATTAATTTGAAAGTAAGTAACTACTTTATTAGGGGTGAGATTCTGATAAAAATATCTTATATTTTTTAAACGAAGAGAATAGCTATTTTTTATTCCCTTTTAGTCAATAGCCCAACCAAAATAATCATTTCCTAATGCAAAACAGTCACTAGGAGCAAATATGTCATTTTGTCAAAAATTAAATTTAAAATGTTAGACAAGTTCCTAAAGACTAAATAATACTCTTTCCAATCTTAATTGTTTGACATCTTCTAAAAGAAATTTTAACTTCAAAATATAAGATACTTTATAATTTTTAAATTATTTTTTTTAATTTTATTCTTTCTTTATTAATGTGAGATGAAATTGTGTTGTTTATGAGAAAGTAATTAAAGCTTGGGCATGAATTGTGTTATTATTTATTGTCAAGGATAAAAATAAAAGAGTATCTCATTTTTTTAATGATATTATGAAAAAAATAAATTTTCTTAAGATAAATGAAATAATTAAAAATATCTTACAATAAAAATTAAAGCAAATAGTTATTAAATTTCACGCTACCTGATTTTATTTATGTATTTCAATTTTTTTTTTCATTCTCCCTTTTTGTTTTGGCGGCATGCCAAGCATAACTGGGTTTAAACAGTCTTGTTATTTTTTCACTGCTAATGATTTGCTGTAGCGCTAAGTTGGGTTTTGAAAGCTTATTAAAGTTTGGATATACTTTCGGATTCAAATAATCAGTTTGTTATGATAAGTTGTGAACTTGTGATTGCAAATGACTCGTGATATTAATTGTATTGTGAGAACATAAAATTCTTCCATAATTTTTTTATATAATTTATTAGTTAAACTTTACAAAATTATATTTTTTTTATAAACGATCAAAATTATATACAATAAGAGGAGAAATTATAAAGACAAAGTCACCAATAAAAAAAATTAAACAAGTTTGCAATTAAGCCCTTAAAATTTTCCATGAATAGTAGGGCTGTGAAAAAGTCCTCCGATTTAGTCTAACACAATTTGACATGAAATGATCCTGTTCTATCTGATCTGTATAAACACGGGTCCTTTAAGAACAAAAAAATCAAGTTATTTTTTGAGTTGAACTGAATAGGAAACTAGACATCTGGACCAATTGATCCAATCCGGTCCCATTAATTTATTTAATATATTATAATTAATTTTTTTTGACGAATACTTCAAATATAATTAATGTTAAGGAGATGATTACATGAAAATTTATTAAATTTATTTTTAAATTATTGATGTAATATAATGTTGTTGAAATTTGTTTAGTGTTGTTTTTATTAAAAGTTATAAATTTAAATAATTTGGATTATATATGAAATATTTTTTTTTCTTATTATTAAAAATTAGTATGGATTTATTATAATTATAAATATTTTTATTATTTTAATTAAATTTATTAGGTTGAAATAAATTTTAATTCTCATAAAAAATTGAAAAAAAATAATTAAGTGAGTAATAAACAAATAAAATTAATCTTTTAATTTTATGAATCAAATTCGATTCTGTTACTCTTTCAATTATAACTAGATAAAATCAAATTATATGCCTAATCCAATTATTTTTATAAAAAAAAAATCAGAGTTAGGTTAAATTTAGTGCCGTCCAGTCCTGCAGTGCTGATGAATAGTGATTTATATATGTGGCTTCGTGTATTTTCGTTCACTTCTTGTATTTAACCTAGTCTCCTTCACCGGCAGAAGGTCATTTACTTACCGTCGTTTGAGCAGACGGCAGTAGTTCCGACGGCAATTCGGTAGGCATTCGGCGGAGCTTCACTTTTATGATAATATTATTGCCGCCCTCATACTATTACTCCATGCTACCTCGCATTGCTCAAGTCTGAAGCTCGTTGTCGCACGGTCTTACCCTGCCTGTCTTCGTCACTCCCGGCTCCAGTGTCAGAACTGCGGCTTACGTAAGTTCTTTGCGTTTCTCTCAATACTCATTTGCCTTTCCTAAGTAGCTTGAATGTGCAACAGAGTTGATGATAGAAAGCCTCAAGGGGCAATAGGTTGATATGTATTCGCTTTTGTTGAGTTATATTTTTTGTCAGTTAGATTGTTGCCTTTGCTTCTGGTTGTTGTTTCATGTAGAGTTTCATTTGGTACTAATGTCATCCCCAAAGAAAGAAATTTGAATTTTTTTTTAATTTCATTTTTGCACCTGTAAGATGATAACGTAGCACATGTGTTTGACCCAGCCTACGATTACAAAGGAGAATAGGGAAATAGAAAATTTTAGGACTAAGCATTTATTTGCAAACATGTCCATATATGCAGATTGCAGAAACTCAAGTGCATGAACATCAACAACTGTTATAAATTACTTTTGCAATTATAAATATCAGATGGAGTCGGTACTCAAATGAAAGAATCATTTAATTGGACTGGATGATAACTTTTACGTTTATTTGCATTATTACATTTCAGTACTCTTTTCATCCTGATTAGACTACCCATATGAACAATTTTCTGCTGAGAAGATTCCATCCTTTATGTCTCAGTTCTCTGTTACTTTATCACCTGTTAGAATGCTCTATTCTTTGCTGCTTGTATTAATATGTTCTGGATTTTAATTTATGATATTAGACAGAACAATTTCTAATGGACAGCAACAACAGGAGGAGTTTATATTGAAGCCTAGATTGGTGTTGCTGCCATTTGATGCTGCTGTTATTTTGTTGTATTGTTAAATTTTCATTTGATGCTATTCTTGTTATGTTGTATTGTTGTGTCCTATAATTCTGTTGTTCTATATGCTATTGTCAGTGAGATCATTGTCTTGAATTTAGATCTCAACTATCTTTAGGTTGATTTTTTTTAATTCGGATCTATTAAATTGTTATTCAAATCATTGAGTTTTGTTTAAATAACATGTAGGCCCATGGAGATTTTGGTAGGCTCAAAGCCTACTTAAGGCCTTCAATGCCTAATTCCTTAAACCTTTTTAAAGGCCTCCATATCAGGTATTCCTTTAAAAAGGTTTCGGGCTAGGCCTATTGCATAAAAACATGTACACATGCTCAGGTTTAGGTTCAGGCTCTAGGTTCTTGTTATAGATTAAGGTCTATTTGGTCAAAGTTTGGCTTAGCCTAGCTTGTTCCCATCCCTAATCTTTGATTGTTGGTCTGATGCCTTGTTAAAGCTAGTTGATTTCAGTGTTTTGATTCAATATTGGGAAAGTGTTGATCGACAGATTTCTGGTCTGATTCCTTGATAACTGCTCCATATTTCTTCCTCCCACTTTTGTATCCCTTGATACTTTTTTCTCCAGTTCTTTCATCAATATATATTTCTTCAATTCTGTATTGTAGACAATGATGCATGGAAATAATCACTCAACAGGGGATGAAGAACACAATGATAGTGCCATTGAAGAACATCCAGGAATTCCACTTGCACCATGCTCTCAAAGCTCTGAAACTGGAGTGTATTTTATTCTTGAGAGAGCCTCACTTTGTGTTGCTAATGTTGGGAAGGTATTCACTTTGATTAACTTCTTGGTAGTAGTGAGCCTAGAATTCCTCCTATTAGAAAGAGTTCTATAAAACTGATGCAAAAACGTTTGGCACAGTTATTTTTATTTTCAATGATTTTAAATCTCTAGGCAATACCTAAACAAATTTATTCACTTGAGGGAAAGTTTGGTGCATTGAAAAGTTATTTGAAGAAAGGAAAAAAATTAGAAAGAGTTCTATAAAACTGATGCAAAAACGTTTGGCACAGTTATTTTTATTTTCAATGATTTTAAATCTCTAGGCAATACCTAAACAATTTATTCAGTTTGGGGAAAGTTTGGTACATTGAAAAGTTATTTGAAGAAAGGAAAAAATGATAGGAAGTATTTT